CAATATCCTTGACAGGTGTTTCCTGTTTCTGTTTTTAATTAATATTGTTTGCAGTACTCTTAAGTTTTCCACACCTCTCTTTCTCATACAAGCTTGCATTATCACTTTTAGAAATACTTACGTTAGATGCATCTAAAATTACTAATGCAGCCAAGTGAATGATGAATAGTTTATTACATGCTTGAAAATATTTAACAGACATGTAACGGGAGTAATTAAAATGCTAGTGGAAGGTTAAATGATCATCTGTTCAGATTTGAACGATACAGTGAATGACACTGTGGATTTTGAGAATCAGTAACAACTGTAATGCTGAGGACCATATGAGACAGAATTTCATGATTCTTGTTAATTCTTGTTTCTAGTTGTGTGGACTGGTTTTATTCTTCGGTCAATAATGCCTTACTTGATTTTCCATCTTAGATCTTAAAAAAAAAAAAAAGTCTCTGGGCAGAATCTTCAGATCCCTTCAAAACTCTGCCACAATATACCCATCTCATTCTAGCGATTTTACAAAATCAAGTAGTGTGTCCCACGTGCATCTGTACCTCCTCATACCCTAGGAGTTTGTATGGAGCTACTGGGCAAATACCTGGCCCTTTCAGTGTAGAACTGGCCATGCTGGTGTCTGCTTTCTTTGACAGCCTGTGCCTGTGGCTTTAGTTTGTTAACCGGTCTGTAAGGACCATGCTGGGTCCACACTGTTTTTCACATGCTGCTGTTACGTAGGGTTTCTGTTCCTGTCCTTTCCTCCCACTTTAGCTGTCACCTTCAAATAATAAGTTATTCAGAACAAGAACTGCCTTTAGATGTTTGGAAAACGCCTGCCACCTTGTAAATCAGCTTGTAAAAAGAGTCAAATACCAACTTCAGTGTGTATCTAAGTGGAAAAGTAATTTTAAAATGCTTAGTCTCTATGTATAGGCATCTTAATGCAATATAACATCTGGAAACAGAAGAGTCAGCACTTAGTCTGATCTAAAGCTTATTGAAGTTGAAGGACAGGTTCCCATTGGCTTCAAAGGGCTTTGAATCAGCAAAACTTTAGTGAGCTTTTGATATTTGTGACCCTCCTGAAATAAACTGGCTAAAATTCGAGCTGTTAAGTAACCTCATTGCTCTTGAAAATTTCAGCTGAATTTGTTTAAATTTACAATGATTAAGCACACAGCATATGTTAATTGTGTGTAAAGATCTTAGGCATTCCTTTTTTCACTTTAAAGGTACCAAGAGCCTGGGAGCTTGAAGGGAATGTTGGGGGTTTTTTTTGAGAATTTTAGCTGTTTGACGTTGTAAGGCCTCTGATTTTTTTTTGTGAATAGACGAAAGTGGAATCTATTTGGGTTATTGATTTGGAATCAAGATGCTTTAATGGCTGTCTGCTGTATAGCCAGGGTGTTGTGAACATCTGTATTTGCTAAACAAGAAGTGCTCTACCACATGTGTTGTAGTAAGGATTGGCCTGATGCAGAGAAGGAGAGCCAGAACCCACTTGTTTAAATCTGATCTTACCTGAATGATTTAAAAACTGTGGAGTTTGTTTTCCGAACTGTATTATAGAGATTGCTTTTAAGTTACATTGAGAGCAAGGTGGGAGTTTGACTATTGAAGCAAACTGAGTTAATGACAATGAATGTTGGAAAATACTTTTTCTGCAGGTTTTAAGGAGAAAAACATGTACAAAAGGTAAATTTTAGCATAGTTTTCAAGGATTAACTTGTGTTGCTTTTAAAGACAAAAATACCAGCTTCTCAGGGTTAGACTGGAGGCCGTTTGTAAGAAGCAGCCGCTCCTTTAACGCGCTGTCACTTTCTTCATTCGTATCACTATAAGGATTGAACAAGTATGTCTCTGCCAGCTTTTCTGGGTTGCATCAGATGGTATCATATCAGATTGCTTGTCCTCATTCTGCCTGCAGAAGACTAGAACTTGCATTAGTTGCATTCAAGTACATGCATCTGTCTGCCATGACATCTAAAATATTTGATTTGGGTATGACTTACTCAGAGTAGATGAATTTACAGAATGGGATAGTCAAGCCCTGGCCTCTATTCTAACACTCCAAAATAAAAACAACAGTGCATATTCTTCTCACAATTGTTAAGAACTTGGAGGAACATCAGGAGTCTTACTGCATCATAGCTGCTAGATGTATATCACTAATCAAGGAACTCTGTTTTGGATTTAAATTAGATTTACTGTTAAATGGGGAAGACATATGCAGCTGTTAAATTAGTGAAAATTAATATCAAACGATTTCCCTTTAATTTTGTTAAACTGAATTTAAATTGACTTTTCTTTGAAATTGCTGTCGTTTTAGAGAACCAATGCTAACTTTGGATTGTATAGATCATATTTTAAAAGCTCTCTTCACTGAGATCTTGTCTCAAACTACCAAGATTTAGCAGGTTCTGCAACTTCGGGCAGAAGTGAGAATAAAGTAGGTAAAAAGTTAGGATATTTCCAAGTGCTAGATACTGGTCACTCCTCCTCTCTCTCTCTTCTTTTTTTTTTTTTTTGTAAACGTATACATCTTTTACACATCTGAATTAGCAAGGATACTGATGCTTTAAGGGGAGAATTTAGTGTAATGTCAGTGACTATCTTCTCCTTTAAAAAACTGAATTATATTTCAGTAGAAGGAAGCATTCACTCACACATGGATTCTCACTCCTGATTCCTTTTTACTGTTAAATTCTTCCAAAATCAAGCCCCAAGCTTAATTCAGAATCTTAGTAAAAATGATGCTTCAGCACTCCATGAAACTCTCCTTTAACAGGAGAGATTTTGTAACTATAGTTAACACAATATTTGCTTTTATATTAGCTTGACATTTAGAATATCTCTTCGATTTTCTAATCCATGTGTCTGTTAATTTATATGTAATATTCTTCAGCAGTAGACCTTTTTTTTTTTAATTAAAAAGTTGTGTAGACTTAAATATTTGCAAGATCAAAAGCCAGGAACAGCCTGGTTGTATAGAAAGGCATCTGTTTTTTCAGTTACTGCCCAAGTGGAAAATTGAAAAGAAATTCTTGCGCTGTCAGGTAGCTTTAGGGTACTACATAGCTAAAAATTGCACGTCTTTTTTTGAGAATAATGCGTGTAGGAAGATGCAGGTTTCAAAGAACACTGTAGGAGAATTGAGTAAAACCATATGTAAAGGATGTGTCCTTCTAATCTTTTTTAAAAACTAGGTTTTCGAGAGAAGCATAGGCCATCGTTTTGGAAAAATTAAAATAAATGCAGAAATACAGCAGTTTCATGTAAGGTCTGTAAAGCAGGTCCTGAACAGGAAAAGTAAATGTTCCCCTTGGAATGTTCTCTGAATGCAGTTTCTTAACAATAAGAATATCCTGCTTTTGAGTGAGAGAGCGCAAAATTATTCATACTAAGGTGTGGCTTTATTGCACATACAGCAACACATTAGGAGGGTAGTTTTGAAACTGCTGGCTTAACTGTACCTCCAGCAGTTAGATTTTTATTTCCTACATATCTGTATGCATTGCCTGACTATTTCTGCTTATAGTAGTTGTGGTTGTCTAAGACGTTAACCTGTTTTGTAATCCACCTCTTTCCCCTTAGATACAGTGGCTTCTTTGCTAGCAGTTGTGCTGTTCATCTCAAACTTTGGGGCTCAGATCCTAAAGGTCTGCTTTTATCCATCCTTACGTGATACTTACTGTCCTGTGCAATCGAGTCTTGTGATCGTTTAGTCTATGTGTACATTCTGCTATCACCAACAGACACTTCCAACTTGTTCCACCAATTTGTACTCCTTTTTGTTATGTAACATCTAAACAAAGAGTAAGCTACTCCGTTGAAATGTGTATACTTTAAGGGAAGATGTCAATATAAAAGTAATCATATTCACAATTTGTTGTTAAATGTGGATCTTGAAAGTACTGCTTCTTGCATTTCTCTGTTTGGAGGAGAACATTGAGGAAAATTTTGTTTTATAATTTTGTATGTGAATTTTGCATTTTGGAATGCAAAGAGACTGATAGATGTGGAGGAAAAATATATATGAGCAGCTCACACTTAAAAGTATGCTGTGCTTGTGTTTGACACTGCTTATGTGACTTTTGGAGGCCCTGAGCAGATGAACAAGTTATTGTGAAATGCCATCTAGGGTGAATTGTCCATATGGAGTAATAAAGGACAGAATCGTGCTGCTTCTTGTGTAAGGGCAAACATATGGCATACTGCAGAGTTCACTTACCAGCTCAGACTTGTGGCAACATGTTTATCGACCTGGACCTTGTTGTTATTACTTGTTTGCTTACTGCTTTCTGTGGAGAAAGTGCCTCCTGCCTTTTTCACGGTTTAGTCTTATTGCCTGACTGTAGAGAAACGCCCATTCTAGCCCTCGTTATCAAGCCCTGGCTCTCCGTTTCCCTAGGTGGGATCGGGTTTGAGAATTGCTTTTGTGTTTAAGGCTTTCAGTGTTGTCCCCTTCCTCCTTTTGTGAAAAGGGGAAAATATAGAGAAGTTCAGTAACTTCTCATCCGTAAACAAATGGGCTGAAAGAGAGAGAAAGTTCCAGCCTCCTCCTCCTCCTCCTCAGCGGCTTTGGTGAAAGAGGCTGTGGAGGAGGTAGCAGAGTGCGCACTCAGTAAGTTTTCAGATGACTGTTTGATTTTTTTATTGGACTGTAAAATTAGTGATCAAATGATCTGAGTTTTGGGGTTTTTTGGGGTTTGTTTGTTTTTGTTTTTGTTTTTTAAGTAAAGATTCTCATTTTCCCTAACAGAAATAAAAATTGCAAAAATGTATGGACACCTACCTCTCAAGACATTGTTCTTCAGTCCAGTAGAGTGATCTTGCTGTAAGGATATTGCTTTAAGGATAACTTGCATATTGAGTAGATTTTCTGTTAACCTTCCTGCATTTTTATGTGAGGTAATTAAATTTCATTTTCCAATGAACTAATTTTTTCTCACATATTGCTTTTTACTTTTTTTTTCAGGCTTCCTTAAGCCAGGCTTAATACTGATAGAATGAAAAAGTTTAAGAGGAGACTTTCCTTAACCTTGCGAGGAAGCCAGACCATTGATGAATCGCTGTCTGAGCTAGCAGAACAAATGACAATCGAAGAAAACAGCAGCAAAGATAACGGTAAGCATATCTTTCACTTTACAGGAGATGTAAGAATTTTAACAGGCCCCTCATAAGTGAGTGTTGTTGGGTTTAACTTCAGTTTTCACAATTGCATGGACTTCCTCACTAACCTGTGCTTTTGATTTATCTTACAGTTGACTTCTTTTAACAGACTGATACATTGTCACATATTGGTTTTGTTTGCTTTGATATTAAACTAGTATACAGCTATTTATCAAAAGCTACCTAAATTGATATTTTAATGTGGTGTGCAGTAAGGATCATACATGCTCGTGCAGTAAACAACCCCATTATATTATAAGTTTAGTGGGTCTCACATCAACTTCATATGGCTTCAAATTAAATTTTTTTCCCAAAATCATTATTTGGTAAGATAACTGATAGTAGTTGCTTAAGTATTATAAATAAAACTGTTTACCTTATAATTGGTGATGTAGTACAGTAGTCTGAGAACTCTTATCACCCCTTCATGTCTCTGAATAGTACTTCTGTTCAACAATATGAAGCCGGTTAGAAACTTTGAGTATAACTAGCTTGTCTGTGTATTCTACGCAAGCCTTTGGCTGATCCCATGGACGTTCTGGCTGCTTTAAAGTTCACATTAATGATGATACCGCTTTTGAATGCAAACTGCAGTAATAATGACTGGAAAAGATTTTGTTGCTTTGTTCTGTTTCCTGGGCTGCAGCTTTTAAGTCATATTTCATCTCCTATGCTGATTAGTGTTATTTCGTGCTCTGCTGACATCTAAAATTGTCTCAAGTATCAATTGATTTGAAATTTTTTTTCCCCACTTCGTGCCAATGAATGATTCTGAATTTTCCCATTGAAAACAGGCAGGGCTGGCGAATTTAAGCAGGAACAGAGGCAATGGAATTAGCCCTGCAGACTTTTAAAATCCCATCCAAGATCTGTTGCAAACCATGCTTTTGAAAGCTGAATTTACCTTTGGCAAAACGAAGCTGTTTATATTTTTGATTTTTACCCTTAATCCCTGGTACGTTCATTGTAATTGTTCTGTCTCCATCATGAGTCGTGCCCAATAGATTGGAAAATGATGTTTATTACAACTTTTTGTGTTGATACAACAGGTCTACTCTGAAACAATAATTGTAGCATTTTTGCACTGGTATCTATGAAGTACTTTGAGACACTAAGCAGTTGTCCCACATGGTTTCACTTGTATTAACCTTTGCTACTGATGCCTATTTTGTTCAGACCTGTATATACTTCTGACAGGTTGATTTCATTATGCAACTAAGTGCTAAGAATTTTGCTTTCATGCTAGGAAATGAGCATCAGAAATTGTCACCAGCATCAGTGAATGTAGTGAACTGAGTTGCTGAATGGATTCAGTTGAAAACTGGATCCAGGAAGCATAAAATATTTTATTTTAAACTGGATCGTGTTCTGGGTGTTCTCAAGGGACAGAGGGCACACTAACTTGTTTACAGAAGCATGAACTTATGCCATCTTAACCCATGTATGAGTCTGTTTACAGTTTATAATATTTTTCTGAGAATTATTCCAAACAGCAATGCTTAGATGTCTTCTGCGTGCTTATTACTAAGCTTTGACAAAATTCACTTCTCAGTAGATATTAAAAGTGATAAAAGTACAATTCAGGACAATGTTTCTAATTACAAATGCATTATTTAGCTTTTAGGGCTTATTTTATGTTGCTTTTCACATTATTTCATTGGCCAAAAGGAAGCTTATTTGTTAACATTGTGTGATACAGTACATGCTATGCTCACAACTGCAAAATGTTGTTAATGTCTTAGAGTATCTTTGGATACATTGAAATGTTGTTGATCCTCTTGACAGAGGATAAATATCTTGACAGTAAATATAAACTGTACTGTTGCTATGTGTAATCTTGAACTCATTTTATGTAATTTAAAGAAGTTTTACTGACATTTGCTTCCTTTTTCTGATACTTCTAGAATGCAGATATTAGTATCTGTTCTATCTTTGATCTTGCAGAGATGAACAGGATACTGCTTTGTGGATTTCTGTTTTCCTTTGTTTTTCCTTTCCGACTCTCATTTTCTTAGAAAGTAGGGTTGGACAGATGCTTGCTACACCAACTAGTCCAGCTTTTCTAAAGGAAGTTCTAACTTTCCCATAGATCAAGATATTTTGGAAGGATTAGTTTTTAGACAGACTGTAGGAATTAGGGTTTGGGCAACAATTGCTGGAAAAAAAAAGTCAGGAAACAAGTTCTTTTGGTGAAAGATGAGTTTGGTAGAGAACATAGCCTGGAAAGATCTTCCAGTGGACATTATTTAAAAAAAAGTATTACAGAGGTTTGCTTAAGTGAAAGATTTGTCTCAGCATCTTGTAAAATCAGAATGCTAAGAAGCCTGTACTAACTGTAAATACGTGGCTGGGAGACATGAGAGGATGTAGTCTCTTGAAGAATAGTTTATAAAGTGATAGCTGCATTAAGATCTTCAAAGTGCATCTTTTCCTGCGATGGTGCTGATCTCAGAAGGCAGGAGTAACCACCTCCTTAGTTTTACTTTTAAGAAGAATAAACAGCTCCTTTACCCTGTGGGACAGAGAAACACAGATGTGCCCAGTTCACAGGCTTTGGATCTGTTCTTAAAGGAACTTGAAAAGCAGAGTCTAGCGAATCAAAGGCAAGCCAATATCTTCATCTACAGAGAATCAAAGTCAGGGATATAAACAGACTTCAGAAAGTGGTAGTTCTTTTGTGGTTTTTTTTTCAACCATTATTACATCATGAACTTGAGAAATGAAAGTTGAAGGGCATTGCAACTGTTCTCATGCTGGAAAACAAGGATAGACCCTGAACATTGAAGGCCTTCACAGCAGAATTTTTTTCCATTGTTGTTGTCCAATTTTGTTTTTGTTTGTTTTTCTTTCCCCCTTTCCTAGTGAATCACCCATCTTGTCTCCTGTCATTCCATTCTGATGGCCATGTTCTCTGAAGGGTATAATTTTATACAAGCCAACTTTTTTCCTTTCCTGGAAAATGGCTGTGTTACTGGACCTTAAAGGTTGTAGCGGCTACATCCATAGAAAACCACGTCTGTACTGGCCTGGGATCCATTCTCATCTCTATCAGATTTTCACATACATGTCCTGTAAAATCTTTATTATAAAATTCCAATTCAGCACTGCAATTCCAGATGTAGATCACGTGTACATAGTATCCGAGACTTTTCCTCAGGGTCACAGTCATGCAGTAACCTGTCTTGTTCAGCCCTCTGGCACACCTTTCCTTTCCCAGAACAGTTGCTTCTCATTTCAAATTACTTCTGCACTGATCCAGAGACTCACCTTTTCCTTAGCACCAGCTTTGAGTGGGTTGTTTGAAATTTACTTTTAAAGAACAGTACTCCTAATGCAGAACAAATTGTCCCATTTGCATTTCACAGACATAAAAATAGATATGTAACTCTTAATTTCTTTGCAGTGCATTGATACCACTGAATCAGGTAACCTTTTGTATGCAATCTCATTTCATACACAGCCTCCTTCATCGCGTGATGTCAGTACAATCTTAGTATGCAGCGCTCATCCATCAGCAAAATGGGATTAGCAAGGATCAACCCATATTGTTCGATGCAGTAGCACAGAGCTGTTGCACTGAATGTAGAATAACCAACAGTTTTGCTTTTGGTTTTGGGTTTTTTTGGAACACCATCTAATTACTTAGTGATCAGAAACCTATATATAATTAAATCTGCCTTACAAATTATGTTCATCATAATTGATTTAATTGGCTTCTGGGTGAGGAAGCATCACAAAATCAGATGCATAAACCATAAAAATAGAGGGGACCAGTGAAATGCCTAATATACATCTGAAGCCTTATGAACTGTGGTATGAAGTATACTTTGGGCTATTCTTAGTAAGTACAGAAGCTTTTTATGATCTCTGTTTCAAAATATAAAACCAATTAGTTGGATTTGTTGTTTATTTTTCATTTGTCTCGATTCAAGGACACTAACAATGTGCCAGCTTGCTTTTTTAATTCAAAGTTCTACCTTAATATATGTGTTCAGATTAATATTAAAAATACTAAATGGTAATTTGTAGCAGTTGACAACTAAATTTGCTCCTGAAATTTTTCCTTGCCAGTGACATACTAATGAAATTTGGCTAGAAGTAACATCCAAATCATGCATATTTAAAGCTCAATTAACTGTAAAAATTATGCAAATACTTTAAATACATATGAATTTGCTCTCTAATGAAAGCGAAAAATGTGGCCGTATTGTCTAATACTGTGAAATACGTTATCACAAGCTCCAAGCATGCTTTTAAGAATAATTACAAGATACATTCAGAAATACATCCACTGCCCTTGCATTAATATACAAGTAACTTGGAAAGCTGTTCTATAATGCCAGTTTTTATTTTTATATATATATATATATATATATGTACACACATGCCAAACCAAAACAAGTGAGGTTCTGATAGAAATGGCTTCATGAATTTCTAGAGTAATATTTATCTCCATTTAGTCTGTTTTAGCTCAGTGATGTGATCATAGGATCCAGTTTCACAAACACTTGCATAATTTTTTTGTAATTTTACAGGTGTGAGTAATAATGGAAGGATCAGCAACAGTAAAGTGCGTAAGTGTTTTTTAGGTTTAAGGCCTTTAATGACTAGTTACTACTCTGATAAGAGGAATGAATGTTTACCAAAATTGACACACTGCAGTACTGTCTCAGATCAAATGTCTTTGTAGTTGTAGTCATTTCATATCATCTTCAGTACAGCTGAGAAATTCCCATGCACCATCTGCTATGTGTGACTCCTTGAGTATGGAAGGAAAACAGTGTGTTGCAACGTATTTTCAAGACAACGTTCTTGAATTGAAAATATGAGCACAGAAATGCTTACTGGTAATAAATCAATACAATTTCTCGGTTGATACTGGGGGAAAGTGTCAGTACAAAAATATTGAAGGGAGGAAGAAATCCTCAGAAGTGCTAGAGCTCATTCTAGAGCTACAGATTACTGCAAATAACTGGCAGTTGTCACAGCTCAATATTGAACCTTGTACTGTCCCTTACACCATTCTGATGATGTTTTTGTTACAGTCTGTATGTACGCTTCTGTGCTGTGGCATACATCAATTTTTGTTATTACTGTTCAGTACGGTTTCTCCATCCCACATACACTGCACAACGTAGTGTTCTTTTTTCCTTTCTGTTTTAATTTGCTTCTTCCCACAAAACCTGGAGGCTCTATTCATATGTGGAAGTGCTTATAAAGTCAAATGAGCATAAAAATTCAGTGCCTGAAAGCATGCTGCAGGGACCTGTAGTCTGGGGTGGGGAGTAGCTGTCCACTCATAAGTGTTTTCCTTCGCAAGCAGAATGCAGATTTGGCAGGAGTGGTCTCTAAATACACCAGATTTCTGCTAGCGTAGGCTCACTGGTGGGTACACAGAGATTTGTTCTCAAATGGCATTCAGATGGACATGTTAAGTACATTAAAGTAAACTAAACATAACTAGCCAACACTGTTATTTCTGAAAGTAGGGCAGAAAGGAGCCAGATCCTCTGTGTCCCGATTTGATTGACAGTGTGGCCTCACAGATGTTTGCGTTGGGAGCTATAGGGTAGTCGCGTGGATGAAGACCTGGGATGCTTGTATCTTGGCTACGATGATGACTCACGTTGATTTAAATTGTACCTGGAACAGTGTTCTGAGGGATTTGGTGTAGTGTGATGATGCCTTCTGGAGTTACGCTTTTTAAAAAGATTAGTAACTGGGTGGTGCATCATGCATATATGATAGGAGATGGGGGACTACAATGCTTGTGTTCCAGTATGTGTTTTGATGACCAAAAGTACTGTCTTGAGAATTATCTTTTAAACAGTATGAAATATATACATCTCAAGGGCAAATTGTCGGCTTTGAATATTTTTCATTTGATTGTGATCATTTTTGTCTTGGTACATGGACTGAAGGCAAAAACTCTCTGTATGTGAAGTCAACTTTGAAAGGCTTTTTGTAGTGTTTTTTAGGTATCTTGATCTCATTTTTTGCCTGGTGTATTATCTCTTGGTTTTGTACTTTAAACAAACTCCTTGGAAAAATTTCCATCCTTTCCACCCCAGATTAAAAATAAAAAAGGTATACAGGACATTGCAATGCCATTTTAATCATTGAGGTACTCAGTTTCTGGGAGAAACTGAGTTTCTTTAGTTTTCTGTCAGCACATTTCTTCAAATGTGCAACTGATGTTTTTGCCCTGGGTCTTCCAAGTGAAGAATGTTGGCTCTGAACATGACTGCTTTACTCAAACTGATCTGTTTTGAGCAATGGAAGAAATCCTTTGAGGTTCTGCTAAGTTTTTGATATTGTAATAGTCAATAGTTTGAAGGCTTAATTTTATTTAATGATTAAATACAATTTTAAGTGGTTTTGAGTGGTTGCTCTGTTTTTAGAGTGACTTAATGTTTTCCTGGGTATCACATAATGGAGTCCAAGGAAACAACCCTGTAAAATAATGTATAAATATACAGTCAAAAAAAAAGTCAATCTTTATTGCCAATAGGCATGTAAAAATTGAGTAATCATTAATAGAGCATATATTCAGGTTAGTTAAATGAATGTACAGTAAATGATGCCAAAATATGATTAAGTTATACAACAGTATCATTTGACAGTCGATATAACTGATTTTTAAAGGTTGCACTGATGGATCGCAAGCTTCATGAATACAGAGCTTTTCAGAGAATAAATATTTAATTTCACATGTGTAGAGTTTTCACACTTTCCCATTCTTTATTAAAATGGAAAAGAAAAAAAAAAAACACAAAATCAAACAACCTTGGAAGTTTTCTGGAGCAAGGGTGAGGTCAAGGTGGGTGGAAAAGAATCTGCATAGAGTCCTGTCCTATAAAAAAACCAGTAGCTTATTCTCAGGATGTTTAGTGAGATTTTGTTACAGTTGAGCCGGTCCAAAGTCAAGCTGCAGCTAAAAGTGGTGAGTGAGGTTCTGCCTCCGCTCTTCTGTCGTCACCCGCACTCTGCGTGCCCTGTGATGATCTAGTTCAAAAACCTAAACCAAAATTACACTTTTTTTTTGCTGGGGGAGGACCTTGAGCCACCTTTTTGGTAGCAACGGTAAATTGTGGCAGGCTTGCTGTCACACAAAAGTTCGTCTTTACTTAGAATACGAAGCATGCCTGTCAATCCCTGTCGTATACCCAAATCAGATATTATAAATGCTGTGTCTCCAGTATCTGTCTTACTTTGATGAGAAAAAAAACCTCCTTTCATTTCCTTTATTTATTTGAAATTAAAATACATATTTATGTGTTTGTATGATTTCTGTGTCCAGAATGGATAGTGGTTACTGAATAATATGTTTACTTGCGGACTTACTCAGCTCTCTCAGAGAGTCTTGATTTAAGGGAAACTGACACCTTGTATGAAGTGACTTTGATTCTTTGTTAAAGCTAGCTGAAGCAAATACTATTCTAAAATTTAGGCAGTGAAATCTGAAAGCCAGCTTGGTCTTTTTGTCACATAATAGAGATACTCATGGGACAGTAAAAAAAAAAAAAGTAGTTGAATATGTGGTATTAGATATTCATAAAATATGTTTTAAAATGCATTTACCTTCCTAATGAAAATGCTTGCTTTCTTTAATGCACTAGCTGACTGACGTGTGACAGTATGTCAGTTGCCGAGGCCTTGCACAGAAATGCCAGGCAATTCTGCAGGCTCTCTGGAACTCAGATTAAGTAAATCCAGTTAAGTAAATCCAGCACAGGAAAGAAAGTGGTAGTGTGGCTCTTTAAGATAGATGGACAAGGAAAAGAAACATTGAGGATTTATTGAAAAATTGCTTAACTTGGGAGTAATTTCAGGTCAGGGTTTGTGGTTAATTTAAATTGCAGTTAAAGGAAAAAGACAAGACACTTTATAACCTCATAAAACAGTTGGTTTTAACTAATTCCTCAGAGAAGCTTCTTGGTTATATACGCTATTGTTCTACTTGACTCTGGCAGTTCTCATATTTATGAAATAAAAAAAAAAAATCAGTTCACTTATGTTCAAGCATAAATTTCTGTCACTTCACAATTGAAAGATTTCAGTTGACTCATTTGAGTTATTTTCTGTTCTTGTATGTTTGTTAACATTGGTGTTGGCATTTTTTCAAACTTACCAAAGCAGTGATACCTTATTGATTACTGTATTTTCTTAAAATGTATGTGTGTATTCTACAACAGAGCAGCAACATGGCCTAGCAACTCTTACAACATTAGCAAGCCAGACTGGTTGTATTTCAAACAGTATTTTTTTTTGAATGGTGCTGTTGTAGTTATTTTGCATTATGCCAATAATAACGGAAGTTTGGATGATAGGATGGAAGAAATACAAGAAAATGATCCAAATGAAATAAACTGGCAGCTCAGCGTTTGCCAAACTTGAAAATGAAGTAATAAAACAGTGCACAGTCACCATGTGTTGCCCAATTTTAAACCTTGCTGAAGATGCACACTTAGCAAGATAACTTGGATGTGGCATAAAAAAAAAAAAGTGGTTTTTATATATATATATTTTTTTTTTTTTTTTAAGAAAAAAAAAGCAGGACAGTCATAGTTCAAGAAGTGTTCAGGGGCATTGAAAAGAAAACCATGTGTTCATCCTGTATGCCAGTATAATATTTATAAATACTCTTATTCAAAATGCATAACTTTTTTCACATTTAAAGACTAGATTTGCATCATAGCTTAGCAAGTTGCATAATAAATGTAAGAAATGAAGTGACGTTCCTTGGAAGGTGAGGCAAAGGTGAAGGGTTTTTGTAGCCAAAATACGAAGAGAATGTAATAACAACAGGCCAAATACAATTAAAAAAAAAACCACTGTGAAGTCTCTCTTTGAGCTCGCTTTCCATATTTGTCAGTTTTCTCAGTTCGGAATTACAGATTGTAGAGCAGAGTGAGGAAAGAAAGCTGGAGAGAAATAGTAGGGCCCTCGCTGGAGCGGCTGTGCCAGCATGAGCCAACGGGTGCTGCGGGAATCCTGTGCCGTAAGGACGGCCGGAGATCTGCCTGGCTGTTCTCCAGTCTCTGAGGATGGCATTTGAGGCCAAGTCTAATATTAGAGCTGAAAATATGACAGCATTTCCCCAGCGTAATCTGCCGGTTTCTAGTTCAGAGAGTTCCTGACCTAGACAGGTCTCTGCAGTGAGTAACCCCGAGCAGATTGTTGTTCAGCCTCCCCTTCCGTCGGGTCAGCTCCTGGTGGTGGTACCATCCTGCAAGGAGGAGTGTCCACAGACTGTGCAGTGTGAAGAGCGGCTTCCGTGCTCCGTGTGTGCGCTGCCACGGCTGCCACCTTTGGTCACCCTACGTCCTGTGCCGGGGAGGTGGTGGGTGCAGCAGGTTCCCGGGTGCCCTCCTGCAGTCTGTGGGGGGTATCCTTCCTTCCGCAGTTTCCATCTGTTGGAGAGAGGAAGACCAGAACTGTGCGTGATACCCAAAATTCAGTAGACCCTTACACTGGCATAGTGATTTTTCTGCTGTTTTTCTGCTCCCTTCTTAATTTCTGTCGTTCATTTTGGCTGCAACTGAATATTAACCCAATAGCACCGTGAAAACACCTACTGTACTAGCAGAAACATGTCAGCTAACCCTTTGAGTGGTTAGTGAGTTATATTTACCAAGCATAGAGTCACTAACGTTAGTGAGTTTTGTACAGGGAAACGTTTTTTTTAAGGACAAACCAAACCTCTTATCACAGAGTTAAAATTATAAGCAGCAGTTTATAGATGTATGTGGTAAAGGCATTTAATTTTTACAGTTTTGACTCATCTTATTCAAGGCCAGGCAGTTGCATTAAATTCACACCTTAAAAATTACAACATTAGCCTTTAAATATAGTGATTCAACATATTAATAATCCTGGGGAAAAAAATGAATTCTGTAAGTGAACAAAATGAAATTGTAACTTTGGATGCAGTGCTTGGGGATCTTCAGACAGAGGGAGTTAAATACTTTTTTCAAAAGCACTTTCTTTAAGTCTTGTATCTCATAAATGCACAAAAATAATAATAAACAGTCTTTTAAATTCATTTCCAGTGAAAATTTGCCTGATCATTTTCAATATTTGTTTCCACTCTTATCTGTTGTTGTTATGATCACAGGGAGGAGGCAGCACACAGTGCAGAATTCATATGAACGTTTCTTTAAAAGTTTCTTGCATACGACAATGCAAACTTACCTGTGTGTAACAAAAATACTTTTGCGGACTATAAGTCTGTATGTTACATCATTGAAAAAGAGAATGCCATATGATCCTTCCTTTTTGTAAATTAATGTGTGCTGTGATTTTAACAAACACTTGTAATCGAGTGTTAATACTTCTCTTAGTCACAAGTATACTAGTAATCTGAGAGTTTTTGTAACCTTCCTTTCATTGTCTGTCCTACTACATGACCTGAATTATTGTTGCTAAATTTTATAATGGGCTCCATAATTGAGAACAGTACTTACGACAGTGCAGGATGGTAATAGTTGCCTATGATGGCAAAAGTTATTTCTATGTAATCGGATCTTATTGTGTCAACCATTTGTCTTATATTTTTTTATAAATTTGCTGTTTGCTTATTAATTTTATCTGTGTTTGTCCTTATAATTGAGCTGAATTTTTTATATGTTAAGATACTTTAGGTATGTTGTTTTAAACTGTAAAATACAGGTAAACCTACCAGTACCATGAGGAGAACAATATTCTTTTATTTTTTAAAAAATAATCATCTCTATTTATCACGCTGTCATGTTAGTAGTGAACATAAAACTTAATCTCTACTTAGTCATTCAGTATAGCCATAAACTCTGGCCTTTTTTATGTGCTTCTCATTCATGGAGATAGATTAATTTTAGCATGAGTAGACAAAAGCCATAACATAGAAGAGAAATTACCAGTTTTGTGCTCTGTGAACACAAGTGTAGTCCACACGTGTGCCTCTGCTTCAGTGTGGTTAATGGTACTGGAAACCTCAGTGTCTGCAGATGTGTAGAGGTGGGTATGGTTGGCCAGGGTGGCTGAGGCATGTACTGTCACCTTCACAAGCAGAGCTTTGCTTCCAGCCATATGGCTCTGCCCCTTCCTTCTGCTGCCTTTGGTGCTTCTCTGACCCCTGTGGAGATATCCTGGCAACTCTAGTTTCTCAGTAGAATGAAAAACGTAATGTTTACTTTGATGCAGGATTTGCATCTTTGTGTGTGAGACAATAATCTTGCCATGGGAGATGCGTTTTCAGTTACCAGGCATCGGTCTGTCTCAGCACTTTACTTGGGTTTTAACTTACCCTGCAAAGCGCAAGGCTATTGACACTGGTGGCAGAGCTAAAAAATATTTGAGTGATATTTTTTTTAATGATTATTCTTTTTTTAGCAGTACATTTCCACACTAAAAAAAAATCCCAAGAACTTTCTTCGTAGGCTTATTATTGAGGCTTAAAAAGAACCAAACCAAGACTGAAAACATAAAGTCACAAAAAAAACCAGCTGAGAGACTTTTGCTTTGCTTGGTGTAGCAGGCATGGATCAAAGGCAGGAGAGTTTTATTTCCCAGATTTTTCCAGAAAAAAAATATCTCTGAGTTTTTTGCTTGCTTTTTTTCCCTAAAAATTAGTTTTAGAAACAATTAAAATGAGTAGAATTACATGCTTAATATACATTATTTATTGTCTATATAATAATAAAAATGAAGTAGTTTTCAAAGTTAGGCAAACTAGCAACTGAGGCAAACTAGCAACTGAAACCCACCAAGCATCGTAGTTACAAGCAGTGATGACTCTCTCAAAAGAAAAAACTGTTTATGCGTCAGGTATTTGTAATTTCAGAGTTATGATTTGCTTGACACTGTGAGTAAATTCAACGTGAGGTTTTTAGTGTAGAAGCTAGATAAAATTCAAGCCAAAGATTAGTAAGAAAGTTAGAAAGCAGAAAATAAATTTTAATGTATAAAAAAAATTGAAGCAGTAGTTGTGCTGTATGTGAACCGATGTGTTTTCTTTCATATGGAAGTACTAAGTAGATTCTATTAAAAAATTAATGAGGAAGGAATTAATTGCTTGCTGCCCTCGGATAAATCTGCTGTTGAAGGCATAGAACAAGGAAGCTGATACCACTCTTAAACTGAAAGGGATGATGCAATATATTAGAAACAGAAATAAGTATTTAGGACAAAGATGTGCAGAGTTTTGAAGGTGAAGGCACTGATGGTACTTCATGAACATATGCATGGGCGTATGATGTATTTTTCCCCATATTCACTTATTTTTGAGCTGTGTTTATGAAGGATGTTAATTGAAAGATGCAGGCAGGATTGCAGCTGTTTTAATATGTCCTTTCACATTCTGTTTTCTGCCTGAAGCATTTTTATGACTTTTTTTTTTCCCTGCAGCAGCTGAGTTGAAGTGATTTTTTTGTCTTAATAGATCATTTATGTTTATATGCATAAATTTCTTGCATAATAATTTTTTGAAGTCGCTGGACTGTTCTTGGGTAGTTCTGTCTGTGTACTTCTGTCTCTGAAATAATATATCCAAAAGGTTTTTGTACATTTGGGGGTGGTGAGAGGTTCGCTTCAGGATCCTGTTTTGCTTAGGTTATTAGGTATTTCTTGCTCTTATTTCCCTTCGCTATTGAAATTTTGCTTTCTATAAAATAAATTCTCCTAGTGATATTATTCTTACTGTCTTATTTTGGAAGGGAAAGCAAGATTTTGGAGTCCCTGCATGTGAGAATATAAATTGGGGTGATGAAATACAATCCCAGATTGCTCCCTGTCCCAAGAGGTGTGAGTGAAGCTGTGAGCAGAACCCAGCTGCGTTACGCCCTAGCAGCAGTGGCTCTGCGCTGTGGTTGCTCAATGTGTGGCTGCTGCCTCTTCGGTCTTCCAAATCATACCAAACAACACATATCTGTAATGGTAATAAGAATCAAATGATGGAAAAATTAAATTACTTGAATCTGAAGTGTTCTTTGGGCACATGTTCTGGTCTTTTTCCTGGTACGGGGGTAGTGCTTGTATGTAGCTGCCAGGTGACACTCACCTCTGGGTGCTTTTTCTGTAGTGAGAGTATTTCCTCTTTACTTTCTTCTATGAACGACTTCATCAGTGGTTCTGATAAACCCAGTTTTGTGACAATCAATACAAACTGACATCTGTTCTGCTTCTCATTAGGGTAAAAAAAATCCTTTTTTTTTAGAGTTAGGCTGCTTCTAGTACCATGACAATCCTTGAGTGATCGTTCACATGTGCAGAGTGAGGCTTGCTGAGAGAACACAAACACTCAATTTCTGTGCCTGTATATGAGTTATCTAACAGCTGGTCTGTTTAAATTATAGTAAAGATGAAACATTGTGCAATAGGACAAATCATTACTATACTGGTATTAAAAGTCACGTTCTGATTTTATTCACATTTTTAGACTGTATATTCAGGTAATTTACTTATCCAGCAGCAGAGTGACAGAATTTAATGAACTGAAATTTGGGTAATACTTAATGCCATGTTTTGTTTTAATTGGTTAATAGAGGAATGGCAGTAGTAGTATGGTCTACTGTTAGTATGAAAGAGAATCTTACCAGAGTGGTGATTTCCTGTCTAGTAACTATTTTTTTCTTTTTTCTTTTTTTTCCTTCTGGCATGTTCCTGACACTCCTACTTGCTTGTGGGAATGAATATTTTGATCCTTGTGAATTGTAGAGCCTATTGTGAAGAATGGCAGGCCTCCAACGTCTCACAGCATGCACTCATTCCTCCACCAATACACAGGATCTTTCAAGAAGCCCCCTTTACGGAGACCACATAGCGTCATAGGGGGCAGCCTCGGCTCTTTCATGGCAATGCCCAGAAATGGGAGCAGATTAGGTAATTTACTACATTGTTTGTTTAAGTTCATTTTTATGTAAAGAATAATGTCAATATTGATTCTTAGCAAGGGATATGGTTATTCTAATGCTTTTAATAAATCTTGGGGAACACATCTTTTTCTGAGGTTGTTAGAGAAACGTCTTTTTAAGGTAATAAATGTCACTTAAAATTTTCAGGAAAAAAGCAATTACAAGAACACACAGAAGTCACCCATGAATTTTTGACAAGTTGCAAAATTACAAAAGTTACAAAACATTCTTTCTTAATACTTTGCAAGAAACCTGTGTGTTCGTCTCATTAAGCATTGGTGAGAACTACCATGAATTCTATATGATAAAGATAGAAGATAATAATCCTATTTGTGGAATTTAAAAAGAACTGGTGCATGACTTAGACTTTTCATTATTATAAGAAAAAAATTTGCTTTTTTCAGTAATAAATTAAGGCCACTCAACTATAATTATCTTCTTGTGTGGTCGCAAGCTATCTATGTGGTTCTGTGGGGCAAATAAGTTATGAAATATTTTTTTTCTTCTCCTTCAAGTAGTTTGTCATGTTGCTGCCTCCAGACGCCACTAATGTTTTACCCTGCTTTTATGTTATTTCAAATTATGCTTAATTAATTGCTACTAGAAAATGAGAGCAAGTCACAGTTTAATTAGAATTTTATGACTTTTTCAATCTTCTGCCCTCCTTTAGAAGTGTGTGATAAACTGATCTCCTTCAGGATTAAGCTATGAGTCTTTAAGATAGTAGTCAAACCACTTATATCCTCCTCTGCTGTAATATCACTCATCATCTTCAAAATGCTGCCTTTTTACCGTTTGTGCTACCATTCAAACTGAGAAAAGAATTCTGTCCTCTTGAATGGACTTTAGCAGCTGTTGTTATCACAGAACAAAACAGGTTTTAGTGTGCACATTTTTACTGCTATGTCCGTTCTTAATTTCACTCAAGTCCTATACATTTTTTTTTTTTTTCTTTTTTGCCTGGCCAAGCTTGGCTTAAGTTGCCAAGAATCTAACAGGAAGGCAAAGTTAAAAAAATAATAAATAATTGTATACTTGGAGAAATCTGTGGTTAGGAATATTTAGTCTTTTATGGATTATTTGTCAATTCAGATGCATATAAACCGTGTACAGGAACAGAGATATACTTCTGTGCTCTTGTTCTTGTGTGTTGCCTTTAAAAACATTCTATAGCATTTTTAAATGTAAATTTACCAATAACTTATTCCTCTTCAAAATTTTACTATGAACTTCTAATCAACTTTAGAAAAGGAAAAACAGTTTTGGAGTTTTTAGTGATTTTTCCAGTTTTCTCAAAGCTTTCTTTTTCACCTGAAAATAATACTAATATGTAAGTATTGCAGAAGAATACTGTTTGGTTTATTTTTTTAACTTTTTTTTAGGTGATCAAGTTTTATAGGTGATCAAGTGTTTAAATAGCACTTATGATTTTAGTATGTTAGTCTGTAGGAAGGGTTAAAATAACAACATATTTTAAATAGTTACAGATTCCTGTAGAATTTGTAATAGATAAATTGCAATCTGGAATAGATTTACTGAGTGTCTACATGTATATGATAAACATCTTTTTTTGCTTTGGATGCAATGATGCCATTAATTATGCCTTTTTTTTTTTACTCCTCATTGGATGAAAATATAAGCTGCTTGTACATGTTATCTAGTGGTAGATAACACAAGTACAAGCATATACAAGCATAATTACTAATGCTGTTTCTGGTCCTTCTTCACATCTTTCCTTGTGTTGTTCGTGACATATGAGAATGGTTATTACTCAGCAGGGTGCTGAGGTTTTCTCTGTTGAGATAATGACATCAGAAATGAAACAGTCAAATACTCCACGCTACATGAGACTTTTTTTTTTGCTTTGCTTTTTTTATTCATCCTCTTTTCTTTCCACTTTTCCCTCTATTCCAGTGATGGAAAGATGCTGTCAGAGAGATATTTCTGAAATATCACAAAACGATGACACTTAAAGGATGGTTATTTGGTTAAAAACCACATTAAAATAAGACCTGCCATAGGTGCATCTTCTTGCTGCTTGCTTTTGAATGAAATTATCAATATAAAAATTAGTTGAGAAGTCCAGGAGGGTTTTGGAGTTTTGTTTGTTTTCTGAGCACTGAACATGAATTCCATGCTGTTGTGGTAACATGTAAAATCTCAAAATACTTTTAAAAGAATTTCTACTTGGAAACATCTCTGTTAGCTTTAGGGTTTGTAAAGTATTTTGGAAAGACCAAAATTCTGAACTGATCTCTAAAAAGCATGCCTTTGTAGTAATTTTAAATTTAGTATTCAGTTATCATGATGATTTTAAATAATGTAGATGATTCTCAGGCCCAATTGTCAATCAGCCCTGCCATTGATGTGGATGAAGGTCTAGCTGAGGTTTTTCTAGCTCATGTATATCTGTACAGCTTCTAAAGTCTCCAGAAACATTTAACTGCGGCAGTCCGTGATGAAGCCAGAGCTGATAAACTGTTTGGAGCTGACCTGGCTGAATGCAGGGCCAACTTAGTTGTCCTTGTTCCGTATTTATATTGCTGGGAACACTGAAGAGGCACTTGGAATATGCAAAGCCAACCATGGCTGGCACGGAGCTGAAGCTAACCCTCCTGGTGAACCTCAGCAAGCAGCCAGCAGAGTTTATCCCTGCTTTTGCCAGTTGTGTTGATATAGTTACGGAGAGGCTTTGTTTCTTTGTCAGAAATACTGGAATTGAAAGGGATGGTGTTTCCATAAAGCTTTCATACATTGGTAATGTTAACAGCAAAGATGATTTCTCACTGTTGCTTTCCTCAATTTGAATCTTTATTAGTGAAACTAACCATAAAATTTAGCTTCCGTATAGAAAAGTAAGCGTTGGAAAAATGCACCTTGGAAGGAGTCCAATATGCAAGTTGCATGATCATTTTTGCAATAATTTGAAATAAGATGGAAAGATTATGCAGTCTGACTCACTTCTGACTAATTAGTGCATGTTATTTTAGCTCACTTGGAGGAGTTCTCATTTGCTGCACTGTGGGTTTCTTGTATGAATTTCTTCTGTGGTGCATTCCCCACAGCTGAAATAAGGACAGTCTTTTCTTTTAAATGTACTTCCATAGTGTTCTGTTATATTTAGTCATCTACAGCTTTTCATTACATGACCATACTGAATAATTAGGTATGTAGAATACATTAAAATAAATGTCCGTGTAAGAGAATAGCTTGAGTATTGAGTGAAAGCATTTCAGTAAATTATTGAACCATTAAAACCTCTGAAGGCCATGCAAGCTGGCTTTGGTGCAGGTGAACTTGCCTACAGAAGAAAACTTAGTGAAATTAAGGAAGTATTTGCATGATTTTCATCATTGCTTAATCAAATATTCTCATCATGCACCTGTGTAAAATGATTAAAATGACTAGGTTAATACCTTATTCCTGGGTTTGTGCTATTAAAATAATGAACAAAAGGCTCTACTAATGCCTTTTTAACTGAATAAAATAAAAGGACACATGTATAGTAGATGATAACATAATCAAGATATTTTTAAAAAGCTTAAAAGTATCCCTATTCAGAATATAATTAAAACATCTGCAAGCCCTTATAGATAGAAGCAGTTGAGTATTAAGCCCATTAGAAATTCAGGTATGTGCTTAATGATAGATTTTTGGATGCTACAGCTAGTATCCTGCCTAAATAACCTTTTGGTTATGGGTATGTAGCTTATCCAGACTTACCAGAATTAATCATAATCACAGCAGTAGTCAAAATAGACTGACCATCATCTTACTTAAATCTGAAATACTACATTTTTAGACTTGAGTGATACAGACTCACTTTGTCTTCTCATTCCTGACTTATAAAGAGCAGGATCTCCTTGCAGCTACATTATCTGCCCCAAATGTATGGATTTGTGTTACTAGTTCTTGAAAGATTCCTTAGTTGTGTGTTACGGCATAGGTGGTCTTTTTAGTAGAAGAATTGTTTTTGTCAACTAGTATGCTCTTTGTAGTCCTGAGTGTTGCATTTTGAAGTGTCATTTTTTTTAACAATCGTTTCATAATACATACGCTTTTGTGAATTGAACGTTGTACGTTTTAAGGTAAAAAGTATGGCAGTATCAATCACATGATTACTTTAATAAGTGTCAGTCTTTTTAAAAAAGAAATGATGTAATTGCTCTGTGGCTTAGAATACAATACTTCTTTAATTTTGTCAGTCTTGTTGCGTGAGGTTGCCCAGATAACTGTCTCTTATCTAGCTTCTCTAAAGAAAATATACTTTGGGGCCACATCAATAGGCTTGTGCTAACATGAGGATAAATAGATTGGGGAACAATTGTCAGTAGCTGTTACACTTAATTTTACAGACAGAATCTTATGAGCTGTAATTGCTAAAATGGATTACATGATCTCTCAGAAAAGTGTTTTAAAAGAATTTTTAATAAAGAAATTATATAGTGAATGTGCTGTTTACCGGACACAACAATGCTGGCATAACGGCTTTGCTACAAATACAGTTTTCAATAATGTTTTTATATTACTAAAAATAATTTCCTATAGTTTGTTAGAGATATTTAAAAAGACAGCTATCAAGTCACTACAGAGAATAAGAGAGATTTCTCAGAGACTTGGCAAAAAGGAGGCACGTTTTGCCTTAGCTTAAGGTTAAGGCTGATCTTTAGGGACCATTTTCTGAAAATCTTTTCCTCTTGTTCAGACTAGCATGCCTTTAGAAGCCCTGATGAGTATTTACCTTGTTTGAAACTAGAAGAATAACTTCTTATTATGCAAGGAATGCATCTTATTTTTATCTCATTAAGTCCAAATTTGAGCATGACTTGCAGGGAAAATTCTGATGTGATTTGGATTTTTAATCGAAGTCAAATTGAGACCTGCATTGCTGCTGGAAAATTTGCTTTGTGCATGGGATGCATGCTTAGTTTGTGTGTTTAATTACAGTACTTGGAGTTATAATACGTGCTGCCAAAACCTTATGAGTTAATCTTTGTATATCCATTCTGTCTTCTGTAAAAGGAAATTCTTTGTACTGAGGAAGAATTTGATCCTTTGAAGTTTACATGACTCTACGTGAGCCAAACTAGACTAACATTTTAGAAGATGTGTTGATACCCAAACATTGCCATAAAGGCTTTTTTTGCAGCAAATCCAGCTTTCTTGCTTGTTGATAGTGATAAAACTTGCACATTCTTTTTTTTTTTTTTTTTTTGATTGCTGTAATACTGTGCAAATGCTAAATATTTTCAGGTCTGTTGGTGGTAAAGCTGAATTGAGTTCTGTGAGTTTCGCTAATATTAGCATTTTTAGGGGTAGAGTTTTGAGATTTTTAGTTGCTGTTCGGTTCTCTTTTAGCCTGTACAAGATCATGCTTAATACCAAGGATCAGGAGAAGGCAGGGAAATTGACGTCTTTTGAAACACCTTCTTTATATGTATGAGTATTTAATCTCTATGGTAATTTGAAGTTCATGTATTTCAGAGGTGATGATGGAGCATTACTCATACTGAATTGCTTGTATGACCAATTTCCCATTCTGTGTCCTTTTGCAAGTCATTTGGCTCTTTATGCTATTAATGACACCACCTTGATCTTCTCATCATTTGTTATGGTGCTTGTCTTCCAAAGCCTGGAAGATCATGTGATGCTTAAAAGTAACGTATATGTATATACGTAATATGCATAAACTCTTTTGCATGGATGAATCTGTAGACTGCAGGCAGTCTGTTGCCTAAATTCCTCTATAAAGTCACAAATTTCGCTTAATTGCTCCTAAATATCAGGTCCTCTGCTGAATGCACTTGTACGTTATAGGCCTCTATTTAGATGGTCAGAATACATCCCCTTCCTCCACACATGCACACTCGTGGGTTTTATATCTGAAGTTTTCATATTTGGCATTTCTGAAAATAATGCCTATACCTCTCAAGTTTTTATTTAAGCTTTTTGAAGATACTTTTAGATTGCTAATTTCAGGTAATCTTGGTCTGAAAATGTTAAATATTCTCAGTAATGTTTTATATCCAAGATCAGCTAAGAGAGAAGAGGTTAGTGAGGGAGTTCGGGAACTGAAACTGTGAGGGGAAGGCAGCTTATCAGAATTAAAATTAGGATTAGACTGTCTGTCTTTTGTTTGGAAAATGGAGTTCTACTCCAAACCAAGTAAGAAAAATAATGATAAAGTTTGTGTAGAAGTCCTATGAAGTAATCCTATTCATTTTGTGATTCCTGAGACATAAAAAGTATATCAAGAATACAAAAAGTATATCATGACCGTGATGAGTCTTTGACTCAATGCGCAGTAATGATACAGTTGTTTTCCATCTGTGCAAGAGAAATGTTTGGTGGAATACTGGTTAACTGTTTGCAATTCTTTGGATTATTTTTAAGATATTGTTCATGAAAACCTGAAAATGGGGTCAGATGGTGAAAGTGACCAAGCTTCTGGAACTTCATCTGATGAAGTACAGTCTCCCACAGGTGTTTGTCTCAGAAACCGGATACACAGACGAATCTCAATGGAGGTAAATTACTTTTCATATAAGGATTGTTTAAATTGACAAGAGAGTTGGGAGTTGCTTTAATTGTGCGTTATAACTGGTTGTCTTCTTAATTAACTGTAACTGTTCTGACACATCTTTTGTGCAGAGCGCGTTATTTTGGTATTACCTAAATTTCTGTCTCTGTTACACAGGAATCAGGTGGTTACCTTACATTGCTTATGAACTGATAATTTTTAAAATCTAAATATGTTTTGAAACTTGGATTTTTGGGAAGAATTTATTAAGTGTAGCATTTGAATATCTCCCTGTCACATTCTTTGTGATTCACTGAGTATATTCAAGAAGATATACTGTTTAGACTTCTTTAGTTAAAACTGTTTTCTAATCTTTATAAAACTAATGCTACAGCAGCGATGATCCTCGCTGCTTCAGCCTTTCCCTCTCTTCCTGTTTTTTAATGAGCGGAACTTTACAGGATGGTAAACAAAGGGAGGAAAACTACCTTATGAATAACTGTGCACATAATTTCCTTTATTTATGAGTCTCATTATGAATACTAGCCACCCTTGTGCTTGCTTTGTTGTCATTTCCCTTGGCGAAGAAAAACAGAACACTTCCTTGTTTCTTGAGTGTATAAAAGTTACGGTTATAATGATGCCTTTGTTACAGAAGCATGTAAAATTTTGTAGTTGCTGCTTTATAGCATACATACATGCATAGTTTGTAAGATTTTAGATCTTCATTTAAAGCCTGATATCAAGTACAGGATTGGGGAAACAGATCTGGATAAGTTACAGTAGGGTGTACATGCCAAAGATTTTTTTATTTGTAAGACATTCTGTTATGCTTGGAATTCCAAGACTCCAAGCATGTAATGCTGGTATGATTCCAAGAACTTATGAATTAGCTGTATTAATTATTTATATCGCTTCTTGCACCTGGAGGGTTTTGTCTTCAAATTCATAAATTTATACGTTAATCTCAGGTTTGATCTAAAGACTGTTAAACCATTTACTTGGGGGGACTAAGGTGGCTCTATTGATTTATGCAGGATGCTTAAATTAAGGAAAAAAAAAGGTCATTATGAAAACTTGCACATTGGAATGTATGCTGGAGAAACTAAAAATCAAGGAAATTATTTAAAAGGATTATTTACTTTTTCCTCACTGAATGTTTCCTCTGCATTGTGAAATGCGCATTTAGAACAGGAAAGAAATAAGGAAATTAATGATATGATATGTAATTAAATTAAACTGAAATGGAAATATGTCAAATCTTCTAGAGAGGACTAAGAACCATTAAAGGATTGTCTTTTAGATTAGGATTCAAGAAACTCTAGAAGAAATTACAAGGGAACTCAGGAATAGTCCTTAAAGTTCAGGAAATTACAGTGTTATTTTTCAGGTGTCACATCTTTTCATTGACCTCCTTAATTGTGAAACAATTCTAATATTACTGTTTAAGAGACTTTGGGAAGCTTTTATTTAAGTTTTGTTTATCCAATGCTAATTTTCTTATTTTTCTCCAGATTCCACATGCGTTTTGCTAATTGTTGAGATTAACATTATTTCTTCATTGACTGGCTCAGTCAACGAAAGCATTAATTTTTTGGCAGCTGTTCATGTATATTCTGTGAGAATTGTGATTTTTCCACCCAAATCACTTCAGTATTGATATGGTGACTTTTCCAATTAGGTTTCAAGCTAATGTCTGCAAACATATTCTCACTTCTGAATTTTAAGAATGCTGTCATTGATAGATGTTTTTGATTGGCTTCAGTTTACTACTTAGAAGTACTTTGTAGCATAGTAGGTGGGATTTTTACCTGTTTATGCATTCCAGAGGAAAAAACCTGTAGCAATCTTTGTAGCTTTGGTTAAAATATTAAAATACCTTTTTAATTGTGATATTTTCAGTCGACTTTCTTATTTCCTAAGCGAAAAGGCCTTAAGCGATTACACTGTCTGCCTGTCTTTCCCTCCTCCTGTTTTTCCTGTGTGTCATTTTCTGCCAGTTTTGACAGATGAATGGAAATCTCAAATGCTAATTTTCTATTAATTTCTGTGAAAAAAGCTCTGCATCTGGAGAGATTGCTGATGCATCCACTGCTAGGAAAGATGCAAACTTGATTAACCACCACAGTATCCACATATGAGTTGAAGCTCAAGACATACATCCATAGAAAACCAGGTTTTGCTTTTCATGGAATTGAATCACTTGCTTCCTTGGCCTTTGAGGGAACCAAGTAAAGGTTTCCTCTTGTACCAAATCTTGCCTGCATGCCTTGGGTGATTTGTGCCACGGAACTGGCTGGTTCAATAGTAGTAATTTGATTATATAAAGAGAAAGAAACAATCTTTCTTGTGAAGTAAGTTTATATTATTTCAATATTATTTTGCTGATTTGTGGCAATCTGTCATCTCTAGACATCATTGGGTAGGTTGAGGCCATGTTCCCTTTGTAGTCATATAGGATGAGTTATAGCTGTATGCTATACATATAGGTTGGAGTAAATTAGTACGTGTGTGATAGTATGTTTTTGCTGTAGTCTGCTGAAGTCATTAGTCACACTTGAAATCCATTGTAGAGTGTATTTGATCAAATGTACAAAGTTGGATAAACTCAGTAAAGCAATATTCTTCGTTCTTCCTCATGAAGATGAATGTGCCTGTCACACTATGACTATATCCTTTTTTATGTTTAATTTAGCCAATGTTCACTGTATTTGTAATAATGATTTCTTTCTTAGTTATATATGTTTGTTTCTCTCTGCTGAATTGACAGAAGTCCTGGTTGTTCTTGAAGGTAACTAATCAGGTAAAGCTGAAACCTTCGAACAGTCCTTTTTACTTGCAAGAACTTTGTGTATATAACGAAGTTTTTCATGCTTAACTTGAACTTCCTCTACAATTCTGAAAATTAGCAGCCTATCAAAAAAAAAAAAGTACCAAATTTTTTTTTTAATGCTTGCTAAAAACATGCATTCTGTAATCAACATGCTAATTACCAATACTAAGTATTCATATTGCTGGGATATTTTGTACATTCAAATACACATTTTGATTCTTAGTGTCCATCCCTGCTTCAGTGAATCATATAATAAAGCTGCTTTCCCTGAAATAGTTAAGTAATTCAGAGCTACAAATAGAATTGTAAAGTTGTCAAAGAGCAGACAGATTCTCGTGCGCAGAGTATATGAAAGATTTTGTCGTGAAAGAAAACTTGATTTTTCTAAAATTTTCATATAGAGATATCCTGGAAGAAGTGCAAAAAATAGACAATGGAGATGCAGCTAGAAAATGTGTTTCTTGTAGCAGAATCTCCATAGCAATAGAAAACTGAAATTTCATAACCTTAAGTTGACCTGGTTTAGATAGGAAATCATCACACTGCAATATAACCTAAATATGAAGCATTTTAGATATGAAGTGGTGCTACTGCAATGAGAAGGAATCTTGCTCTGCAGTGAAAAATCTGCTGAGGTGAAAACTTTCCATCTGCAATAGCAGCCACAGAGATAGCAGCTTTCAATCTGTTATCTTGCCCAAATAACATAAAATTTAGGCCAACATGACTGTTACGGACAGGGAGATGATACACGTTTGCTTCTGAATTTGACAACACTGCAGTTGGGGAACTAGATTTTTTTTTTTTTAAATGATTGTTCATTGTTATCATGTGCTTAGAAAACAAAGAGACCATACCAGAATCTCATTGTGTTGCCTAGATAAAGTTTATTTTGCCTGTAATCCACAGACTACAAATGGTCTGTAAAGCAGTTGATTCTTTTTTTTTCTCCTTCCTTCCCCTCATTCAGGAACCATGCTGACAGTAAGTGCGAACATCTATTGTGTGAGGAATTTGGCTTCCAACAGCTGTTAGGTTTTAATTAAAGTGTCTACTGATCTCATGCTAATATTAGTGATTACTTAGTAAATCAGTAAAACTGTTTATCAAAACAGATGTATGAAATAATTTTTTTTCAAGCGCCAGAAGCAATGCAGCCTAAGAACAAATACATGTGTGTCTGTATTTTAAGTGTGTAGATGCTTTCATTATATAATGAGAAACACTTCTCCAGATCATGGACAGCTCAGAGCATTTTCACTTTGATTTGCTGGAAAAGATGACATGGGCAGTAATTCATTAATATAAATTCGTATTTCAAGCCGTAAGTGTTCGCGTGCGCTGGATAGTGAATGCTTCATTAAGAACTGTGGTAGATAAAAAATAGGGAGATACAGTCTGTGCAAATTGAAACATCTGTTTCCCGTTCCCAGAAGTCCAAGGTCTGTAAGCTGTCTTTGCATGTGAACTGGCAGAGGGCCATAACCCACTGTTCACCAGCCTGTTTCCCAGATATTTTATCCTGAGAAACAGTTCTTATCCATCTGACTGTCACATTAGTGACAGGAGCGTGTTCCAGATCAGGCTGCTCCTGCCGCGCTGCTGTAGGGTATGATTCTCCCCTGGGAGGATTAGCTGCAGGGCTAGTGCTTGTTGCTGAACAGAGGGAAACACAAAGGCTGTGAAGTGATCCTGTAGTCATGTGTGTTTTGTACTGATCACCTTCCGAAACAAAGAATGTAGAGGAGAAATATGTTTTTGGTGAGAACCACCCTTTACCAGGGGTATGATTGCTTCTCAGGGGTCTTGACACAGCCTGAGTAACGATCTGCTGTTGGTCCAGCTGGGCAAATGTACCTTCTCCAGAGAAGAACTCACAAAGTTAGTTAATGTTTCAACTGACGTGGTGCTAAGATTTTCTGTTTTTAGGCTTCAGATTAGAATGTGGTTTGTGGGTCCCCATTCACATATGCAGATAGGGCACTCTTGGCTCCATTAGTTTAAATTCCTAAACAGCAGACTGGATGGCAGTACTGATCCAGGCTTTCAGTAAGAGACAGTACAGTATTTTCTCCTGTTGTTAGTTTTGGAGGCAGGAGACACTGTGTCAAAGCCTGAACTTTCAGGCCTACTTGCTGCTCCAGAGGCTGTCTTGGATCCCCAGCAGGCATTAC